CACCTTCTCCCTCCTGTCTGCCACCCGTGGTCAAACCTGCTAGCCTCCAGCACCCCTCTGTCTGTTCCCATCCCTCTCAAAGGGTGGCCCCCACTGGTCCCCCCCCACCCAGGGCTCAAGTCTAGTGAAGTTGGTAAAACCGTGCACAACAATTCAGGATGCTCCGGTGCTGAGAACTACCCGCACTGCACAGGAAAACCAAACCCGAGGCCATGAAACGCGTCTCTGTGATACTGTAGCTGTGGACGTGTCATCACACTTGTCCAAATCCACAGACTGCACACCACCAAGAGGGAGCCTAATTTAACTATGGACTTCTGGTGATGATGTGTCCACGCAGGTTCTCAGTTCTAACAAACGTGCAACTCTCTGGCGGCTGCTGATAACAGAAGAGGCTGTGTGTGCGCAGGGGCAGAGGGTGTTCAGGAACTCTCTGCACCTTCCTCACAATTTCACTGTGAAATCTAGAAAGTGCTCCAAAAAACAAAGCCTATTAAAAAATAACAATCCTAGTATGTTAAACCACTTGACCCGTAAGAGACATTCATGTTCACCCATTTCCCATGTCTCTTGGCAATAACCAAATGAGGCTGGTTAACAAGGCCCTTCCCATACCCTGGATGCCAAATCAAAGTGTTCGGCCTGGCCCGGGGGCTCCTGCCCCGGCTGTGTGTCACTGCAGGAAAAAGCACGTGTGTGTCACACCACGCGGAGCGCTGGGGAATCTGGCGCTGCACCACCACATCAACCTGCGGGCTGAGCTGTTCCCAGCACAAGTCTCAACTGGAGGCACACCATGTGTGCCTGGATCTTCTGAAATTTGGTCCCTGAAATACATTATAGTTAGCTGCCAACATTTATTTTTTATTTTCTTATTTTATTTCTTAACTATGTATATGTATATGTAACATAAAATTTACCATTTTAATTATTTTTAAGTGTACAGTTGAGTGGCATTTACACATTGTTGGAATACTACTCGGCCATAAAAAAGAATAAAATAATGCCATTTGCAGCAACATGGATGGCTCCTGGAAAAAGTAA